AAAAAAAAAGAAGTTGAAAAGTAAAATATTTACAAGAATCTATTTTTAAATAAAATTCTGAGACATAAACATTAAATTAAGTATGAATTTTTCATTCAAAACGAAAACCGCTTATAAAAAATACAATAGCGGTGTGAAGATAGAAGTGAATAAGAAAGAAATTTTTAACTAGAATAGAACCATCATTTTCCTACTCAATCAACGTAATAGGGTTGCACGCTGTAGCAAGATGTGACGCATAGATCGGTTGGGTTACCATATTCTCAATTTTGCGGTTTTCAGAGAGCTTATTCTCGACCGCGCCAAGCGGTGCCAAAACCGTGAGCATTTCCGTGAGTGCCACCGGGGGACCAACTCATTTTCCGCGCCCTCTATGGTGTAGGACTTAAAATAGAACATTTCAGAATCACTTTAAGTTTTAGATAATGTAAAAACTTAAATCCGCCGCATTTGTCATTGTTTTTTGAATGTTACTTAAAATAAAATTTTGCAGCTTGATATAGTGATTTTTAAGTGACTTAATAAAGTTTTATTCCATTCGGTTTAAAATTAAACAGTGTATGTTACTAATGTAGTTTCTATTGCACATAGAATATTATGATTGTGTTTATTGTTGTTTATTAAGACGTTTTCCAGTCTGTTAATAATGATAAAAAACACCCTATGTGAAAATTAACTACAATATTAATAGATATCTTGTTTAATTTTTAGGTAAAGTTAATAAAAGTTTGAAGAAGTTATAGAGCCTGCAATTAGCAAATTAAATTTAGAAAGAGAAAAGCATTTTACTGTAGAATTTAATTTTCATTATTCTTCAGGAATTCAGTTCCCCTTTAAATCTGACACGTTTCCCCTCTTTGCTCCTTTCTAGCTTCGTCTCTGATAATATCCCTAATAATAGTGAAATTTTAAGATTTCCTTTAGAAAGAAATTTCAATCATGGCGTGAAATTTAACGCATTTAGTTGTAATAAATCAAACTGGCTAAACAGTCATAATAAAGAATTGCTTATTTAAAAAACGAAAGATAAAATTTTTTTAGTTAATCAGTAAAAATTAAAATTGCGTGGTATTAAATGTATAAAGCAGAAACTATGCATAATTTAACTAATTATGTAGAATTATAAATTAAAGCAATACGCGTTTGCACATCCTATAGCCGATTATTGAAATATATACAGCTCAGATACTACATATTTGTATATGTGATTGTACTGCTTAAAAAAGCATTTGCCTTTTGATACAAAGGAATACAATAGTGATATTTTGTACTTTCTAATAATTTCTAACAAATGCACTTTTTATAATGATCAATTGTAATATATCCATGAAACATAGCCTCACGTATCTTAAAAAAATAGCGAATTAAGAAATTTTCTAGACAAAATACGTAGTAAATTTATACAATTATTGTTTAAAACTTTTCTAAAAATCAAAATTTGTGTAATTAAAATTGTTTTAAAAGTTGAAAAGCTGATTAAAGTAATCTAAACAAAAATATCATCTGTATCTTTTTATAAAATAAAACGATTTAAAACATGAACAATTATATTTATTAAGCGTTTTATTTATCTTATAAAGATATTAATATATAAGTTTGAATACTAGAGAAACATAAGACACGTAAGAGTCTGTTTTATTTTTTGATAAGTAAAAAAAAAAAAATTATTGCTATTAAATGTTCAAAGCAGAAACTATGCATAATTTAATTATGTAGAATTATAAATTAATGCAATACGCTTTAACACATCCTATATAAATTATTGAAATGTATACAGTTTAGATACTACATTTTTGTGCATGTGATTGTACTGCTTAAAAAATGAATGATTACAATAGTGATATTTTGTACTTTCTAACAACTTCTAACAAATGTACTTTTTATAATGATTAATTCATTAAAATTGTAATATATCCATGAAACCTAACATCACGTATCTTAAAAAAATTGCGATTTAAAAAATTTGCTAGAAAAAATACTTAGTAAATGTATACAATTATAGCTTAAAACTTTTCTAAAAATAAAAGTTTGTATAATTAAAATTGTTTTAAAACTTGTAAAGCTGATTAAAGTAATCTAAACAAAAATATAATTTGTATCTTATAAAATAAACCCATTTAAAACATGAACAATTATAATTTATTAAACGTATTATTTATTTTATTAAGATAATAATATGTAAGTTTGAATATTAGCGAAATATAAAACTCGTAAGAGACAGTTTTACTTTTCGATAATTAAAAAAAATGATTGAGGTCATTAATTTAAGGAGTTGAAAATTTGTATAAAGTAGTAAGCACAAACAAACTAAAACAGTTTTGAAAAGAATATTGTCTAACATTTATTAGTTTTTTTTTCGAATACTTTTTTTATGATTTAAATATTAAAATATTTGAATAGAACGTGTATTCTGAAATGTTTTCATTATTATTTTTATTTTAAGGGTATAACATTTTCGAGAGTAATAATTTTAAGGAAATAATGATACGTTTACACAAAATGAACAATCGTATTAATTAAATATTCAATAGATTTTAGTAATATTTTTACCATACCAATTTTATTTAAGTTCTATAGTAACATGAAACAGATAAAATCTCTCTTTTTTTTAGAGAAACAAAGGGGTAAAAAATAATAATAAATATACTTTTTTTGAATTATCATAAAAGTTTTGTTATTAAACACTTTTTTTTCCATACTATACTTTTTTAAGGAAGAAAAAAATGAAATCAAGATAAGTATTATTTTAATTATGAGTTTAACATTTTTGAAAGCAATAATTTTTAAGAAAATAAATAATTTTTTCACATAAAATGAATAATCATAATTAAATATTTATATTATTTTATTTTTATACACTTTTTAAAACTTTATTTTTGTCGAAATTCTAAGAAACATGCGAAAATTAACTGAACTCTTGCATAAAAAAGTGTTATAAAGAATATATATTAAGAAATATATTGAAAAATACATATATTATATAATAAAAAATACATTTGAACTTTCTTTTTGAATTTCCTAAAATTCGATTAAAAAATCGTTATTTAAAAGCAAAAAATTTCACTTTAAAAATTTATATATAAAAATGAAAAAATAATATACTTACTAACAAATCAGACAAGCTAAAGTTATTGTTCGTAATCCAGAAAATATCACTCGTAACACTTAATTCAAAACACTTCTTAGCAGAAATAGAATCACCTCCGGTTTTCCGCGGATATTTATACTTAGAAACAGAAACTCAAACTAAAAAGACCGAAAAATCAATTGCCCCGGGACATTGCGAACTGAAACTCAAAAATCGGGTATAACTTCGTCCTTTCCTGCCATTCTGACCTTCGAACTCACACGCTGTATTTTATCTTATCAATGTAACTAATTAGTTTCCGTCTCCACAAAGAAAGTTCAGTTTGTTTTTTTAAGAGTTTAGTCATCGTGTCGTTAGAATTAATTAGAATCTTCTTATAGGAGATGTAAATTAAATAAATAAATAATTTGCTTAATATTATAGCGGATTTTTTTTATTATTACGATAAGATGGAAATTTCGTCTAAATAAATTTATTATTCTGATGATCGATTTTTAGTTTCAAACTATAAATTGATAAAAAGAATTTCATTTTTAGTTAATGAACTGTGTATATTTTTACTCATGTTTTTTTCGCATTTTACATAGTTTTATTTTTGTATTTCTTAAAAGTATTCTAGTTTTTACTTTATTTTATTTCTTCTCACACAATTTTTCAAACATAAACACAGTGAGTTGCTCTTTTTACGTATAGTTTAAGAATATATAATTATTTAAAAAGTCAATGTAAGAAACAGATACTCAGTGCATTTATATTTTAAGATAAATAGTTATGATATTCATTCAAGAGAATTCTGATAAGCGTATTTTGATGTTAAGATTCAAAATGTATATAAAGAAACACAAGTGATTAAAGGAAATATTTCAAAAATGTGACGCATTTTAACGTTTGAAAATATGAATAAAATAATTAAGGTATTAATTAATTTAGGATATTAAAGTATTTAAAGATAAATAATAAAAATATTTGTGGTGAATAATTCGTAACTACGTATTTTTATAACTAGGCACTAAATGTCAAAAAAATATTCAAGTTAAAGAATGTTTTAAAAATATATAACAGTTTAAATTTTTAAATCATAAATAAAATTTTAAATGATTTCAAAAATATTAGCGAGAGAAAATTATGGCTCAAAATTAAAAAGACAATTTAAAATTAGGTAGTCGTAAAAAATAATTTATTTTTTGCTATCATTTTATTTTATCACTTCGATTTTTAAATCATTATTATATAATCATTATTACATATCACTATATATAATCATTATTAAATTAGATTTTTATATCAGGTTTATTGAGTAAGTAATCAGGGACTCAAATTTTGCAGAAAAGCCAACAAGTTAGTTTTTTAAAATTTGCCGTATAAAGAATTAAATTATTGTTGCCTTATATCTCGCTTAAATTTTGCTACACTATTAATGGTTAGTGTTATTTAATTGCTGCCTTAAAGCTGTTTTTTTACACTATATTTTACTCGTGAAATTTAATTTATAATTTAAGAAATTGAAAAGAGTAATCGATCTCTATCGATTTTCAGTAAAAGGACGTATGCTGAAAATTTTAAGAGCAAAGAATATTTGTTCTCAGTCAATGGCGTTCAGATGTGTCTGATCAGACTCCTCTGCAACTCCTTGATTAGAGTAAACTTCCTGATCAGACACCTCTGAAAAGCGGAGTATAATCAACGGAGCATAAAAAAAAACAACAACGTAACTCTGGTTAATAAAACCAAAATATAGGGTATTTAAACCATTTATTTGTTAATTGTTTCGCTCATGTAGTAACGATTTACCTGAAATTCTGTTTTCAAAATTATAGTTCTTATTACCATGCATTTAGTAAAAAAAATACAAAAATGAAAAGTAAATTTAACCGAATAAATGGTTTTTTATGCCAGGCTATGCTAGAAAAGCATGGCATAAAAAATAACTCTGATAAAATTTCGTATTTATTACATTGATAGAGTTACCAAATTTTAACACATTCACGAATTTTTTTCGCTTATTGTAGAATTTTATTTTAATGTTAATTTTACCAAAATTATCATCGCTTAGGTAGTTATCATCGCTTAGGTACTGTTCTATGAAGAAAATTAATTAAGAAATAAAATATTCGAGAGAAACAGAATTACAAGTAAAAAGGAAAAATATTTATATTTTGTCACATCCGTTTATATGACTCAGCTTAGATCTTGTGATTTTCCTACAATTAGTTCAGATTAAATTGACAGAGTTAGTTTAATTTCTCAGAACACATGACCTCTCATAACGAGTGATTAAAATGTATCATAATTCGAAGTGAAAAAGAAAGCATAATGGACAGCACTATTGAGGTTCATTTTTGGCTTCTTACGATTTTTAGTTTATTCCAGAATTTTAAATTGTGTGTTAATGAAAAATAGATTTAATATATTGGAAAAAAACGAGTAAAAAGGACAATGCATAATACTGTAAAACGCAATGATCGAAAAATAAAACCGCTTTTTATAATTAAATATAATCTGACCGAGTGTAAAATTTTAAAAGAGTATAAGAAATTCGTATAAAAGCCATGATAATTGTTTTTAAATAAACGTCACTATAAAAGAGTTTCTCAATAATAAAATTAGCTTGTTCCAGTTCGCTTTAGAGAAAATTTTGTTGCACAGAGGTTAGGGATTTTTATAGATATTTAAGTAAACCTTACAAAACTTTTTTACATTATGATACGCTCAAAAGCGTATAATTATGAATTCCAACTAAAAATACACTTCAATCACTTTATTAATTTGGTTAAATCATAAATTTTTGAAGTAAAAATAAGCGATTCAATGTGCACCTGCGTTTATTTTGCTTTAAAAAAATGTGATTTCATGCTGCTTTGAATTTTGTAATGATACATTTTCCTAAAAATGCTGTTTTCAAATTTAAACGAATAATTGGATTTTATGCCACGCTCTAAGGTATCATGCTAAAATTACCGCATTTTATCTTTACAGTTATAAAACCATATTTTAATGTTAATTTTATCAAAATCATTGTCTGAACGCTCCGGTAAGGGAGTGATGTTACCACTGAGCCAGAAACACACTGAGTTTTAAAATATTCTGGTAAGTTTGACCATCATAATTTTCTTAGGGTGGGATATGATGGAATTAACAATTTTTTATTGTTCGTCTTTTTTCAAGGCACTACAGCCTGTTACAGACTAAAGCTGTCCCAAGTAATCATTGCTATGGTTCATATAATTCTTTTTCTACTTCTCCAAAAATGTTGTAGATGATGGCTATTTTTTTTTGTTCCCCTCTAATGCTTTAACTAATTCAAAATTAAAATTTTCGTTTGCAATTTTTTTAAAAAAAAAATGTAGGAGAATCGAGAAGTTTAACGTCTGTAAATGATAAAAAAACCTCTCAAAAATTATTACAGGGTTGCAGCCACTTCTTTTAAGTGATATTTAACTTTAAGCTATCTTCTGTGTGAGAAGAAATGATTATGCAGAGAGACTCTACTGTACTCTAGTATAAATACGAAAATATGCTTGATTTTCATTTAATTTAATTGAAACTTTTATATATTAGACTTCTGTTACATAATTTTGCAACAGCACTTATAAAATTTAGCCCCAAAATATGGATTTAAAAACATTAACTGAAATATTGAAGAAAAAAAAGTGTAAGGACGTGTTCTAAAATACTTACAATTTTTGTCAATAATCAAGAAAACTAACTTTTTTCTCTCCAACCACTTGGATTCTGCCGAGTGGTCATGGATTCTGAAAAATCTCTCAAACTGTTAATAATTTTTCCCAAGCGTCCTTAATAGCGAAGATTAAGATCCTGTTGTTAGCACTGTTATTGTGTGCCATTGTTATTGTGTGTTATTGGATTGAGGCTCCTTCCCGGCCAATCAATTAAATTTTCAGAATTATCTTTAAGCCAGAATTCTTGCGCTCTTAGAAACGTGTATCGAAGCATTATCCTGTTAAAAAAAATACCTGAAGCAATCAGTGGCTATTCAGTAACAAACTTTTTCCTGTATATCATCATATTTGTCGAAATTTATTTTACTGTTAATTAAGACTGTTGGAGTGGTTCAATTTGTCGCAAAAGCGCACCAAACCATCACTGAGCCACCATATTGACGTATGGAAGACTCTTCTTTGAAGACTGAACTTTTTTCGTCAGACAAAAGGACATCTGTTTATTTTTGACCGAAAGAAATGTATGTTTTGGCTGAGTCAACTCTTCTCTTATGTTGATTTGTAAAAAGTGAACTTGACCCTAATTTTCCATGATAAAATATGAGGATGTTTATTTTAAACATTTTGAACAATCCTTGATGAACATGGATAATTCAAATTTTGTCTAACTTCATTTGCAGTTCCTTTTTTCTGGAAAATTCTTCTGAGAATCATACTTTTCCGTCAACTAGAGCAAATTTCAGGTTTCCCAGTTCGTTTTTTTTATGCCATACATTCTAGGATTTTTTTAAAAACATTATGAGCTACTGTTTTAGATTTCTTGATTCTTTTTTAAATTTTACGTTCACTTATTCCACATTCTTGAAAAGGAACAATTTTCCTTTTTTCAGAATAAAAAAAATATGAACTCCTTTGAATAGGACGATGAAAGTTGACTATTGTGAAATTGTATTCACGAACTAATTCTCTTAATTCTGATTGTCATTTGCTATTTTTAAATACACAAATTTTTCAACAATTTGGGGGGAAAAAACAATGTCTTTATACTTTTTTCCTATATCAATAAAAATCAAAAAGTAAATTAAAACAGGTTTATATTTGAAGAAATAATTGAATTTTACTCTTATTTTTATTTCAAAAATTTACCCACGATTCCGTAAATAAGAGTTCTAGAATTGGTAATTTTTCGTTTGTCCTTATACTTTTTTCGCTCATGATCTATATTTATAAATCTTTCAAAATACTATTTAATGTTTTATTAGTTTCAGAAATATTAACATTATAGAATTCTATACAATAATATTTAAAGTTCCAAATATGTACATTTAAAATTCCAAACTTTTGACTTTCTATTTTTTATTTTAACGGCACAATAATTTGAAATGAAAAAAAAAAGTTTAAATGTGGTTTTTCTTTCATTACTGTTTTTAACCAGCAATGTTTATTCCTAATAATATTTTTCCCCATATGTATTTTACGATACTTTATTTTGTCAGGTCATAACCTGAATTAATAGTCTTCTTTTTTAATTTTATTTTGGGACATGTTTTTAAGAGCCGATTTATTTAATATACATAATTTAAATAATACAAATATTCCAAAAATCCGTCTTTCATAATTTTTTGTCCAGCATTAAACGCTAGTAACTATTCAATATTTCAAGACTAATAAATACTAATAGAGACATATGTTCATGACTAATAAAAACACAATGGTCTCTTTTAATGAAATATTTTTATTCTGTAACGTTTCCGTTAATAATGTCCTTAATTGCCTTAAAATATGATTACGAAAGTTCTACCTTAGTATTAGTACACTGTACTCGCATTTGTTTAGAGCAGTCCATTTTCACTTTTAAAGGAAAATTTTTTCAAATGATTTATTTTGAAGAGAAACTCTTTGATTTATCAAAGATTTCTTCTTATAGGAGATATGTTGACGATTGTTTTCGACTGTTGAACAATGACATAGATTATGTTCTGAATATTATGAATTCTATCTATCTTAGCATTTAATAGTCGTTGCAAAAAGAAAATAATAAATGTTTACCTTTCTTTGACGTTATTATTGTTCCTAACTGAAATTTCCGTTTATGGGAAATCGTTTATGGTTTCACTCCCCCCCCCTCATAATTATGGAAAATTAAGGAGTTACAAGATTTTAATTGTTATTTTTTATAGGATTTTTACTCATGTACTCTTAATTAGTTTTTCAGAAAGATGAACTCGATATGATTTTTATTTTATAGTTTTATAACCATCGTTGAACAGCCAACCCAATTTTGATTTTTCGAAGCCTTATAATTTTGAACCAAATTTAGAAGACAAGGGAACTTTTATATCAAGTATTGTGAGAAATTTGACTTCGTGGAGGAATTTTTGATCGAACTAATCCATATTTGCGTTATGTGGAGAGGAAAATCTCGAAAACCTCACACCATTAGCGTAACGTTAAGAGGACTTCAACGCATGATCCATCTAATATTGAGGATATTTTACGCCAGCACTGTGGTCGGTGCGATTCGAGTGCCGAAATAGTATCGACCAGTCATCACTGGGGATTGAACCTGGATCACCTTATTGAGAAACGAGCGCTCTGACTCCTGAGCAACCACGGCATCTTGATATGATTACAATATTATAAAAAATAAATTGCTCATTAAAAGATTCAAGATACTTTTAAATAGAATTATTTGGGAATAACTGAGGGATCCTGGCTCACACTACCAAAGTTTTTTAGTTAGGCCATCCAGGATATAGGAAACAGATGGTTTTTAGAATCCCCATATGTCCATATCGGATTTTAGTTCTCTCAAGCGTAACTAACGTTGTTACAATGCGTGATTTGATAAATTACAATAAAATTTTACCAGGCACGAACCTAAATCTGTCAACATAGATATTAAAGATTGAAAAGAGATATTATCATAGATCAGAACGAGATATTATGAGAACACGCCATGCATAATGAACAAACAAGCATCCAAAATGCATAGTTCTCTCTCACCCTTTAACACTTATGTTAAGTATTAAAGACTCAAGCACCAAAAGAAATTTTTAAATTAAATTCAGGAATTCTGAATAACTGCATTAAACACTACGGGAAAAATAATATTCGCAACACACCACTGCTAACTCCATTATTAAAATAAATAATAAGTAAATAAATGATTAAAAAATTATATTTTGCATGATAGATATCATCTTTGGATAAACAGGGGCGTTAAAAAAAATGTCCGATTCGTTTTTTTCAGTTTAGAGCGATATATTTAGGAATGAGGCTACCCCCTTCCCTATTTTGTGGGTCAAAAATCCAAATCCGTCGAAAAAAATGATACACTTTTTAAGGAAAAGTATGCTTTTATGTCTGATAATTTCTTAAGTTAAAATTTCGATTGCACAAATTAATCAGCATATTTTAAGGTTAACTCCTGTATTTATTCAAGTCGAAATATATTCTTGTAAAATTACCGTACTGCATAATAATAACAACATTTCTAGTTAAAAAAATATTTGGTTAATTGAAATTGAGATATACGGTATTTAAACCATTCATTTGGTAATCTTTCCGTTCATATGGCAACAGTTTATCGAAAATTCAGGCTTGTAAAATTCTAGTTATACAACACATTTAGTAAAAAATACAAGATTGAAAAATAAATTTATCCGAATAAATGGTTTTTATGCCATGCTCTAAGGTATCGCAATAAAATTTCCAAATTTTAACGCATTTGCGAATTTTATCATAGATTATAAAATCATATTTTATTTCTAATTTTACCAAAATCATTGCCAAAGAACTTCGGAAAAAATTACTGAGCTTTTTAGTGTTACTATAGTGCCATAAACAAAGTAAATTTCACCCCATTCTGGTAGTCTCGATCGTACTGTTTTTTTTTTCTTTTTCTGTGTACGCATCTGTTTCTGATTTCGTATTAGTTAAAATTATTATAGTTAAGGTTGACCCTTTTAATAATTAAGATTGAATCTCAGTAATTGCCAAGTTGATCATTAATTCAAAAGTTGCAAAGATTTTTTTTATTTTTTGCGCACTGTACATATATTTTTTTACTATACTTATTTCGTTATATATCAACTATTTTTTGATATTTGCCTATTATTTTTATTTTCCACTTATGCTGTTTCTATTTTAAGAGCATTCAAAAACTATTATTAATTTATTAAAGTAAATTAAGAAATTCAACAATATTTTGTTTTTACTTTCATAAATCTTTTATTACAATATTTTCACTTTATTTTTAATTTCAAAATTTTATTTATTCTCTGAGAAAGGCTTCTAAAAATATTTATAAATATTGAAGCAAATTTTACGTTTCACCAAATGCTTAAAAGAGTTGAGAAAGAAACAAACAAAGGGTGAAGAAAAAAAGAATAAAAAGTTCGATAACATCTTACTGAAACAAGGTCATTTTTAAACAGAAACTAATAACTGTAAGCAGAAACTGCTTCAGAAATCAACTTTTCTAGGCAGTATGTTTCAAAAAATGCCTGCGGCAAAGTTCAAGTAAAGAGATAAGTCTGAAGATGACTTCGATGAAAGAGATTATTTTTTACCTTCGTTTCATGTCGGGANAACAAGATAAATTTCACCACATTTTTTTTTCAGACTACGCATCTGTTTCTGATTTCGTATTAGTTGAAATTAGCATATTTAAGGTTGACCCCTTTAATAATTAAGATTGAATCTTAGCAATTGCCAAGTTGATAATTAATTCAAAAGTTGCGAAGATTTTTTATTATTTATTTATTTTTTGCACATTGCACATATATTTTTTTACTATACTTATTTCGGTAAAGATCAACTATTTTTTGATATTTGCTTATTATTTTTGCTTTCTAGTTATGCTGCTTCGATTTTAAGAGCTTTTAAAAAACTATTATTATTAATTTATCAAAATAAATTAAGAAATTCCACAATATTTTGTTTTTACATTCATGAATCTTTTATTACAATATTTTCACTTTCTTTTTAATTTCAAAATTTTATTTATTCTCTGAGAAAGGCTTCTAAAAATATTTATAAATATTGAAGCAAATTTTACGTTTAACCAAATGTTTAAAAGAGTTGAGAAAGAAACAAACAAAGGGTGAAGAAAAAAAGAATAAAAAGTTCGATAACATCTTACTGAAACAAGGTCATTTTTAAACAGAAACTAATAACTGTAAGCAGAAACTGCTTCAGAAATCAACTTTTCTAGGCAGTATGTTTCAAAAAATGCCTGCGGCAAAGTTCAAGTAAAGAGATAAGTCTGAAGATGACTTCGATGAAAGAGATTATTTTTTACCTTCGTTTCACGTCGGGAGGGAGAATGAAAGAAGTAACAGCCACTGGATAAGTTTCAGTTTCCGTTTCCCTGGATCAATTTCTCTTGTCATCTTTCTTTCTCATCCTTCATTATAACTGTGAGGATGGAGAGCAAGTTTTTGAATGCAGCATCCCCACGAAATGGTGTGGGAAAAATTGGTGAATTCAAACGAAATTCACGTCGAAGAAAAAATCGTTTTAGTGAGTACTGTAATTAATTTTATGTGATTTTTACATTTAATGTTATAGTGCATATATATTTAAGAATGATCAGATTTGTGTTAACTAAATAACTATTAAAAATAATTAAATGAACTAAAATAATAACTATTTTTTAAACAAAACTTAATATTTAATAGCGCATTATCTAAAACAGTTAATTAGGAAGAAATTTGTAAAGTCATCAGTGAAAAAATTTTTTTCTTAGGAGATGCAAAACGGGATAAACGGGAATTTCCCAGAGACATCCAGTAATTTCGACTGCTCTTTACATCTACTATTCTTTCATATACCTTACGTACTTATACTAAATACATGCATTTTACACGTAATATACTCTTAAGAATAAAATATAATGATTAACAATATTAACACATTAGTGCTTATGCTTAACACATGTTTACAGGATTTATATTTTTTGAACTTCATATGACATAATTTTTTCTTCAAAAATTATCTATTTGTTATAATTAAATAATTTTTATTAAATTTTTCTATAAAATTTTTTTATTATTTATTTAAATTTATCTTTAATTTGTATTAATTTATCTATCTAAATTAATAAAAAAATATTTAAAATTTACTAGATAAATGTTAAATTTTTCTATTTAAATTTCTGCAAAATTTCAATTAATATATCTATTCAAATTAATGGAAAAATATTTAAAATTCGATGTATAAATTTTAAATTTATCAATTAAATTTTAAATACTTTTCTATTTATTTTTTTCTATTATAGTGGCTTTTTTTCCCTTCAAATTCCTATCAGAAATACTTTTTCAAAATTTTTAGAAAAAGATAGTTAATTATTTTTATTTATCTATTAACGTATCTACTTTTAATATTTCAGTAAATACAATTGTAAAATACTTTATTTTGACAGATATAGTATTTTTTTCTTCTCTAGTTTCATTTAACATTTTACATTGCATTAAACGTTTGTAAGTTCCATGATTTATTTCAATTAAAATAAAAATTTCGGAGAGAGGTTTTTAAAAATGAGTCACTGGCACTCAGTTGAACATGAACTACTTAATGAAATTTTTTTTTATATAAATAATTATTGCAGCATATATAAATTTTTTTTAATTATTAATATAGCATTTTCTTTATTCTATGTTCAAAATAAAAAGTATTAAGTTTAATCAATCTTTGAAATAATAAATCAGTTTTTATTTAATAAATATTTTTTTAAATACAATTTTTAGAATGTTTTTTTTCTTAAAACGCATATAGTTTAAATTTTAATCGTTCATAAATAATTAAGAAATCGTGCATAGTTAATAGTATTTCTTTCTTTTTTTAGTATTCCCACAATTTGAAAACTTTTACGAATTTTTCAAAAAGAATTAAAATTTCAAAGGAACAATTTTAAAAAATACGTCATTCTCAGAAGTTAATCTTTTCATTACGTCATCCTCAGAAGTAAAGTTAATTCGTCATAATTTTGTTTTCGTACGTTTTGTTTTCGAAAATTTTAATTATTTCGGCACATTTCAAGCGTAGCTTTTTCTTTATTTTGGCCAATTAACCGGAAGACAAAGCATAAAATTTGTTCAGTTTTTTTAATTGCTAGTTTATCAGTACAAAGCAAATGTAGGAATTGTAAAAATAAATATAATTGATGATTAAGTAAGAATTGTAAAATTTGAAGGATTGTAATTTTTTTTATTGAAACCTTTCATGATTTTGGATTTTGATAGCTATCCCTCACTTTCCCCCCCCCTTTTTTTGCAGTTTGAAATTTTAAAAATGTTTCGACTTTTATAGGTAAAAAAAAATCCAGGTTGGAATGTTGTTACAATTATCTTATTGATTTTACGACATCTATGAATTTGCGAAATATTTCTGAAAGTGACCTATGCAAAATTGAATGACTTATACATTGACTTACTTATGCATTTAATTGATATGCGTTAATTTAATTAAATATTTAAGAAATAAATGAGAAAATTTTTATCTACAATTTTGAAGGGTTTCAGATTCTATTTTCATCAGAAGCTAAAAATTTTCTAAAATAGTCTTGTTCTTTTCTTGGTACTTATTAAATTTAATTTATTCGAATGAGTCGATTGGCCTAACATAATATTTTATAATATTATATTCAACGCATTTTAACTAGAATTATTTGTCGTATTTATGGATATTATAAACTGAAATAAATTTATAGGTTGTTTTTTGAAAATGTGACTGCATTGAATTTTTTTAATCTGAAACTTGTTTCAAGAGGGATCTACACTCGCCCTTTAGGTTAAATTTTTGACTTGCGTTTTGTTGAGTTTTTTCTTTTTCTTTTTTTACTTAACAAACTTTCGATGATATAGTATTATTAGACAGCACAATACCTTTAAAAAATTGTAGATAATAAAAGAGTAGCTTTTGTAGATTATGAGAAATAGCACTTGATAATTTTTAAACCTTCTATGATTTTTTTCTGAAAACTTTAAAGAAATAAAACGACGCGATTAGCGGTTTTAAGTAAATAATTTAAAACTACACGTTTCTCTATTTTTATATTTCTTAAAATCTAATTTTATTGCAGTTTAAACTGATGAAAACCGATTAGGATGACGCTAAAAGACTCTTTTAACGTTAATTGCTTAAAAATAAAATTACTTATCAAAAATCTAAAGATAGGCAACTTTATACTATTTAACTACCAATTAAAAACTATTGATAGCAGAAATGTATTGGCATAATTTTGTTAGTAAAAATAGAAAATCTAAAACATTGTGCTCGTTATATCTCAACTAATGACTGGGTAATAGCCTTGTATTTGGCAGTGTCGAACGATACTGCCAAAAAGAGTAAATATCCATCATTTGTTTATTTGTAAATATTACAGAAAGAGGATGACTGAGATAGTCTAGTTGACAGGGCGCTGGACTCATGTTCGTGAGTTCGAATCCAGCCGACCGAAGACTCCTCTTGTAGTGAATGGTGACTGGTGCACGTTAAATCCGTCCGGTCACAAACTCCTCCATGTTCTCAGAATAAATCATATCTCTGGGGATACTGAATTGGAGATTGGTCGTTCTCTCGTTCAGGTCAAATTCACGATCTGTAGATGAATGAATTGATATATGAATGGGGCAGCCCTATAAGCGCGTGTGACGTATGAGTGCGGCAGAAGTCAAATTCTTGGGCCATAGATGGCGCCACTGGAAAGCAAGAGCAATCGCATCCTTTGCCTACGACAACAACACCAACAGAAAAAGGATCAAAAACATATTTGGAATTTTCCCTCTCCGGCTCTACCCTTTTTTGCAATTGAGTTCGGTCTGGTGAGAGCTTATTTATCGAACCAATTTTATTGTGTACATTGAAAACAAAAACGTTTCAAATAGCATGTGAAACACCATATTAAATTGAACTTCGTTTTAAATAACTTTGGAAGGAAAAAACTGGGTATTAGTGAAAATATTAAGTCATCTCTTTACAAAAAGCAACAAAAAAGAAATGGCCAACCCTCTTTGGGGTTGTATAATATTCTTAAAGAAAAAGAGGGTTAATGCAACAATTTTTATAATTTTGCGAGAAAAAGCTTCGATCGAACTGACGAAAAATTACTTGGATCAAATTTTCTTTTAAATTTCAATACTGTATAAGCTTAATAGTGGATTAAGGGGAGTCGGTAAGGCATATATCATTATAATGCTAAAACTGGCCTTTTTTGATGTACCTCTTCTTAGAAACTACTTATGATATCACTCTGAAATTTTTGTGGAATATTTGGGTCATTCTCACTGAAAAGGTATAAATAGACTAAAAAATTTTCTAAAATTAAAGTAATTAAAAAAGTGATAGAAATTACATAAATGCCTTTATTTATTTTTGTTATATGTCCTTATAATAATGGTCAAGTTTTCTATTTTATTTTTTACAAGATTTAAAGTATTTTAAATTCTGCCTTGTCCACGGAGGAGATGTAATAGTCAACGGAGGAGACATTTTATGTTATAAAATATAAAATGTCAATGAAGACTAATTCATTAATTATTGGGTACAACTGATATGAGTTTAACATTAATAAGTAAATAATAAAATATTTCATTATTAGAGATAGAGCTACTTCCGATTAATCATGCTGCTATGAAAGGAAACATCCATTTTTAACCTAGGTGT